TTTAGTGATGCAGAATACAGTATTGTGTAAAATTAAGGCATTTCTCTAGCCATTTGTCCATTGATGAACAGTTTAGCTGTTTCCAATTTTGTCACAATAAACAAGGGTGTTTATGGCACAATAAACATGGGTATGCATATATCAGTTTGTATCACAGTTCATATTTCTTTAGGATAATAGTAGTAGTTCTTATTTCTTTAAGATGCCTAATAGTGAGATTGCTGGATCAAATGGCACTTATATTCTCAATTCCCCATAGGAGTTACACCATTTTATATTTCCATTAATCGTTCATAAGAATTCCAATCTCTCCATACCCTTGCCAGCATTTTTTGTTTGATGCCTTATTGAACAGTGCTATTTTTGCTGTTATATTTGTTATTTTGATTTGCATCACTTGAATAGCTTATGATGTCAAACATTTCTTAATGTGTTTGTTGACCAACTATGTTCCCTAGTGAAGTATCTATTCACGTCTTCTGCTCATTTTGTTTATCTTTTCTCATTCAAGTCTGCTGTCTACTGACTAAACTTTCAACTAAACAGTAGAGAGGTCAATATGGTACACAATAACACCAGGCAGGTACTCTAAAAACAATCAACTATGAAAAATCAGAAAGAAAGCCCAGGGATATAGCTCTGAATGCACTAAGGAGTGGACAAGAGGGATTAAAAAAAAAAGAAAAAAGAAAGAAATATTTTTGTTTTCTGTTCTGTAAATTTTCACTCAAATAATATAAAAAAAAAAAAGGATTGAAGGGAGCTCTGGTGGCCTACTGGCAAGAAGCTGCACTGCAATACCAGAGTTATGTGGTTCAAATACACCAGATCCTTTGCTGGAGAAGGAGGGGCAATTTCCTCCTGTACCAGTCAGATCTAATTGATGGTACACACACAAAATAATAAAATTAAATTTAATTTTTTTTAAAAAAAGGATTGTGTGTTGTCTTGGTTTAAGATGGACTAGGGAGAAAGGTCTGGTTATCTATTTGCAAAATCCAGTCACTAAGAACATTATGAATCACAGCAGTGAGATCAATTTTCCATCATAGACTCTGTTCAGGCAGCATTTCCTTCCATTTGGATGGATTCACAATGAGTCTGTATCTAATTCAAAGGCAGCAAAAACCCAATAACCATGTGCATTTTTTTCCTAAGCCACAAAAAGATGATTTTCACAAATAGAAAAAAAATCCTTATAGCTTCAGCTTAGAGAAATCCACATTGCAAGTGACATTTGTACAGCTAATTCTTAAAAGGAAATAGTCTGTAATATACTATTACTCTATCCTCACATACTCTGGGCAGGTTCTCAGGAGGGACTAGTCCATGGAACAAGGCATGATACTGGGAAAGGTGGAGTGTCAAAGAAAGAAGAAAACACTCAACATGTTGGGTGTTCACAGTGACTGTAACAATGGGCTTGAGTATATCAGAAATCATGAGGATAGTGCCTATCATCTGCATCCTCTGAGTAACATCTTTGCTTTTAGCAAGAAATCTTTCACAGATTTTTCCAAAAGCAATCCATCTTTAATTTCTTGACAGGAACTATGATGGGCAAATCATTCAAGAAGCCACAGATAGGAAGAAGAATGTAGCATCAGGACTAGAGGAAGAATTTTCAACAACCTGCGTCATGCAGATAACAAAAACCTTATTTACTGAAAGTGGAGAACACTTGAAACATTTGCTGCAAAATCTCAAAGACTACGGCCTTCAATATGGATTACAGCTCAATATCAAGAAAACAAAAATCCTTACTACTGGAAAATGGGCAAAATCATGATAGATGTAGAAATGAACAAAGTAGTCAATGATTTTACCTTATTTGAATCCTCAATCAACACCCATGGAAACAAAAGAAATCAAAAGTCATGTTATATTGGGAAAATATGCATCAAGGACCTCTCCTAAGTTCTAAAGAGTAACAGTGTCATTATAAAGACTAAGATGAACCTGATCTAAACCATGATCTTTTCAATTGCTTCTTTTATATCTGAAAGTTGAAAAATTAATACATAACAAATTAATACAACAAAGGTAAAAAATGAATACACAAATCTGGACAAAGAATAAGGATGACAGAAGAAGACTTCATACCTTTCAATTGTAGTAATGGAGAACCATATTGAATATCCTACAAATTGTCAAAAGAATAAACAATTCTGTCTTGAAGGAAGTTACTGAGTCAATCTATCTTACCCAGGGTCTTCTCTTGCCCTGTCCCTCCACCCTTCAAGAATGATGTCTTTCTTAAAGGACTGGTCCCTCCTAGCAACAAGCTCAAAATATGTGAGACCAAGCTTCAGAATCCTTGCCTCCAAGAAGCAGCTTGGTTTCACTCTTTCCAGGACAGACTTGTGTGTTCTCTTAGCAGTGACATCAATTCTTCTATCATCCTTAGACACTGTCCAGCTCTCTGTTACATAGCAAATAATTATAAAGACCTTGGCTTAGAGCAGGTGCACTTTAGTCTCTAGACTGACTTCGCTGCTCTTCAGTATTCTAGAGAAGTCTGTGACAGCAGCTTTTCCCAATGCAATTCATCTTTTAATTTTCTGGCTGTTGGTACCAAGAGTGTTGATTGTGGAGCCAAGCAAACTAAAGCTGTTAACAATCTCAATCTCTTCTCCATCTGTCATAATGCTGCTAATTGGCCCAGTGGTGAAAATGTTTGTTTTCTTGATGTTGAGCTTCATAGTCTCAAGTATTCAGTAAAACTATAGATATTAAATCCTATATTGATTAGGAAATGTGTTTGTGATAAGAAAATTCTGACTAAAAGAAGTTCTGTAAATTTTCTGAAGTCCATAATTATGATCCTAACATAGGTCATTCTGAGTATAGAGTCTATGGCATAATTCTTAGGCTATGCTAATTTCAACCACTGTACCTGGAAACTAGCAATTCTGGTCTTGAAATTGATATTCTATCAGAATATCTTTAATGATGATAGAAAGAGAATTAATGCTTTTGAGCTGTGGTGCTGGAGAAGAGTACTGAATATAACATGGACTGCTAGGAAAACAGTTTCATCCTAAAAAGGGTGAAAGCAGGCTGCTCCTTGGAATCAAGGATTCTGGAGCTTCATCTGACATATTTTGGGCATTTTGCAAGAAGAGATCAGTCCTTAGAGAGGGAAATCATGTTTGGGAGGGTGAGGAAACAGCACAAGAGAGGAAGACCCTCAATGAATTGGATTGACTCAGAGACTGGGGTAATGGGGATAGGTTTGTCAGAGACAATGAGGCTGGCACCGGATAGAGCAGGGTTTATGGCTGTTGTACATAGATAAGGTCACTATGAGATGCCAGTGATTCAATGACACATAACAACAACACAATCTCAAAAATGTAATAATTAATTATACCATGATCAAAAACAACTGGTCATATTGCTGAAGAAAATTTGTCATGCCAGTAAATTTAGCACATAGTCTCATTGACATGGGCTCTGCCATGCTTGTTGTCCCATAGTTGAACCGTGACTTGATTCCCAGGGTCAGTTAAAGAGAGGAAATGTAACTGTCCAGTGGGAAAATCAAGATGACACTACCTTGACTTAGTCCTCACTATGCGTGGAAAAAAACAGAGGTAGTTGTGTGACTCTTAAAGATGAGAACTCATCACCAGTGATGATTTCTAGCAAAAATGTTTACTTTGTTCTAATCAAGGCTTCATCCCTAACCTTCAATTTCAGGAATGACAAGGATCAGAGGAATAAACAAAATGACATGTGGAGGAAATGAGACAAATCCAGGTGGGACACTTCCCAGAATAATTGGCCTAGTTTCATCAACAAGCCAGTCTAGTGAGGGTGAGTGGGGACGGCTGCTCTGGATTAGATGATTTCAGAGACATGACATCCATATGAACTGCGTTGTCCTGTACTAAATTCTGCTTCAGACAAACCAGATGCAAGGCCACTGTGGAAGCAACCACGGAAGGCTGAATATGACTGGTATTCAGATTTCAGTGTGAAGGTCAATCTATTAGTGTGATCATGATAACTGGATTAGACAATGTTTTTACCTTTAAAAAGAAATGTAAACTGATATATTTAGAGGCAGCATGCTAAAATGTTTGATTTTTTAAAAATAGGTCAATACAAATATAAAAGGGGTTTGAAAAGGTGGAGAGTCAAGTGGAAAAAAATATAGTATATAAACTTCAAGGTTAAATCATGCTCCTGTGTCAAAAACTATGCTTAGTTGGACAATAAAAGCTTTATTCTCAAGAGGTCCTACCACCGTCCTTCAAAATGCAAAATAAAATATCTTTCAAATATTAACTTTTAATAAAACAGCTTAATATAATTTAGACATTTTTTAGGTTTATACCAAATATTCAGAATTACTAAAAGATCTGAAATTATAGCATAATAGTCCAGAATAATCCCAACTGAGGCAATAGGGAGCATTAATTGTCACACTGCTATCTTTATTGAAGAGAACTCTAGACTTGGTTGTATTTTTTTTCCTGTTTTACAAAGGGTTGCTATGATTTGGAATTGTTTGGAAAGTACCTACCCAACAACATCTTTATTGAGTATGTTTCATTTCTATACTGTACATGAGAATGAAGGCCTTTGTACATGAAAGACATCCTTTGTTCTAAGCACATATCTAACAAATAAGGAAGCAGAGTTCAAAAGTTTAGACATCTGGCAGGAGCAGAGTTAGACTTCAGTTATTACCTAACTCTGTTTTATTATATGACTAGTTAAAATTGCGGTTGACACATGTGAGTGATGTAAAAGCTACCAATGAAATGAAGTAAAAGGTTGTGAGTTTTATCTAAGTTTAGAAACAAGTACAATGTGCAAGGCACACATAAATTCTCTACATGGAGTCTACAACCTAGTCTAAAGATCAAAAGGTGACGTTTTCTATTTGCTCAAGGAAATATGCAATTTAAACAAACACCACCTACCTTTGGGTATGAAAAGAATAGATTCAAGAAACGTAACAAAGCAAAACAAAAGCAAAAAATGCAAACCTCAGGCCTAGCTGCCTGCAGATGACTTCGGCATCTGCATCATCCCATTGGTCATCACACACAGTTCCCCACTGACCGGCATGATAGACTTCCACTCGGCCCTCATACATACTGCTTCCTCCAATAAGGCGTAGGGTCGGGACGGTGGGTCCTGAGGAATGTGAAATTAAAACCATGTTAGATCTATGTACTTAAATAAAGCAGTGTCACAAAGTGAAATATGTCTTTCAAAAATGCATGCTTTGATGACTCAGTGATAAGGAGTTGTGCTGCCAACAAAAAGGAACATGGTTCGAATCCACCAGCTGCTCCATAGGAGAAAGATGGGCAATCTCCTTCTGTGCAATCTACTACCTCTGAAAACCCACTGGAAACTATGAGTTGGCTCCAACTTGATGGTACGGAACAACAACAATAACAGCAAATTATGTTGAATGCTAGAAGTCAGTCACAAAAAGACCAGTATTATAAAAAGACAAGAGAAGGTGTACACATAGTTAGAGACAATCTTGAAAGGCTAACTGGGATGAGAAGAGAAGGGGAGAGAGGTCAAAATGAATAAATAGGTAAGTTAAATGAAAGGAAAAGCAATACACAATAAGGGGTTGACTAAGCCTTGTAATTAACTGATTAAATTAATCAATGGCAATTTAGTGTTACAAAATGCCTACATATAAAAAAAATTAAAAAAAAATGCCTACATATGGTTGTATGAAAAACTAATATTATTTGTAAACCTCTATTTAAATAAAAAAATTAGAAGTATTTAAATCAGAAACAAAAAATACTGCAGAATATTTTAAAAGCAATGTGCTGTAAACTCTAGTTCTTATACATGTGAATATAATTTTTCCTGTAGATAGGGTTTCTTTGTTGTAATAAAATGTGAAAAGAAATCAAATAATGCTGAGAATATGATAGGGTGTGGTCTTGGATTAAAAAAAAATATGATCCGCAGAAAACGTGTTAGCCATTGTGAAAGTCAATTTATCTCTAGTTACATTCCCATGAACATATATGTTGAGCTTTTTTATCAAAACCAAGGTATTCAAGGGGCTAAGGGTTTGGCTACTAAGCAAAAGGTAAGCAGTTTGAACCCACCAACCATACTGTGGCTGTAAGATGTGGCCCTGTACTTCTTTGGCTTTAGATGTTCTGTAGAACAGTACTGCTTTGTCCTATCGGTGGTCATGAGTTAAACTGTGACTTGACAACAATAGATCTAGGTTTTGGTACTGAAATCATACCCTAGCATGTGCTTGGCAGAAACCCTCCTGCAAGGTGGCAATCCATTTCTAGGGAATGTGTTCCAGTGAATACAGTTCCAATGACAACACTGAAATCTAAGTCATTTTCCAATCTACAAAGAAAAAGTTATTTTATACATGTGACATATTTTATGTTTGGTTTCATTTCCACTGAAATTCCATTATGCTCTTTCATTACCAAAGGATGTGTTTCTTATACAGCATTTAATACTAAACCCAAACGTATTTCTTAGACAACATATTAAAGAAGAATGTTCCTTACTCATATGCTGTATAAATAAGCCATTATGTGTTTCCTGTGTTGTTGTTGTTGTTATGTGCCATCAGGTCGCTTGCGACTCATAGCGACCCTATGTACAACAGCCCTAAACCGTGCTCTATCCTGTGCCAATCTCATTGCCCCCGACACACCCATCCCGATTACCCCAGTCACTGAATCAATCCACCTCATAGAGGGTCTTCCCCTCCTGCGCTGTCCCTCCACTCTGCCCAGCATGATGTCCCTCTCCAAGGACCTGTCTCTCCTTGCAACATGTCCAAAGTATGTTAGACGGAGCCTCAGAATCCTTGCCTCCAAGGAGCAGCCGTGTTTCCTGTACAGCATATAATATTATGGCTGTCCATTTTGACTCACTGCAACCCTCTATCAGGTCTCTAAGGCTGTAAATCTTTACAGATGAATGGACTGTTGGGTTCAAACCACTGACTTTTTGGTTAACAGCAAAATATTTGATGTACAACTGTAATAAATACACGGGGGTGGGGAGGAGGAAAGGGAGGAGGGAAGAGAGAGAGAGCGTGAGCTACAGAGCGAGCACTCTGTTAGCCTACTGGTAAGAAGCTACACTGCAATCTCAAAGGCATGCAATTCAAAGGCTGGGCAATCTACTCCCATGAGATTTACTGCCTGTGAAAACCTGCTGGAGGGCCACCAGTGGGTCGATTCCCACTTAATGGCACACAACACCAACATTTATTTCATGACCCAGAGGGTAAGGAGTTGACATATTAACACAAAAGCATTTGGTTCAAATCCACCAGTTCCTCCAAGGCGAAATATGGGAAATTCCCCTCCTGCCTCTGAAAGCCCACTGGAGGGTAGGCTACTTGTTGGTTCCAAGTACATATCCACAGCATGTGTATAGTAAGCAAGCATATAAAATAGAAGACATTAAAATTGTAAATTATATTAAAATAAAATGAGACATTAAGTTGTCAGGTATACTCTACAAAGACTGTTTAATTCAATGTAGTGGATGATGATTGAGATTTATTTACGTCTGTGCTTAAACTCTCCCAGGAAATTATTGAGTAAGACACTCTTATCATCTGGAAACATGCTTGAAACATAATGTAAGTAAAACTAGAGAATAAATATTTTCTTTTTACCATGGGAAAAGCTACACGTGACAGCAGCTGCCATCTTCTGAGGACATGCCCCACCCTGCCAGATAGCTTTTTCACAAAGCAGTATGTTTTCTTCATCTCCTCGGCAACGGACTTCACTCCAATGAATGGGAATAAGGCCCAGCGTAGAGAACGTAGAGAACGGTGTTTGTTTTGCTACTCCTTTTCTTCTGCAAGTAAAATGGCCGATGTTAGATGTAACCAAAGTAGGCAAAAATTTTGTTAAAGCATTTAAAGTTTAAAAAATGGAACACGCCAGCTAAGATAAACATAGGAGGGACAAATCCTTCTCATAATGTATTATGCAAATTTTAAGGAATCAAAAATGCTACATCAAAACTTTGGTGGAATATTTATGACAATTTGACTGATGTTTTTACCATCTTGAATAATTGTTGGTGCAGATCTGCCTTTTCTATCATGGCTGACTTTCGAAGAAAATGAGCCCAAATATGGACAGAAAACTGAAATCTAGAAGACTTGGATTCTGGTCTGAACTCAGCTATAAATCATTGTTTGGAAATCTGTCTTCTAACAGGTAAATTGCGAAATCTGATCATTGAGGATTTTGACTCTTATATTCTAAGTTGCATTTTCAAAGGACTATGACTGTTACATTTGAACAAGTCAATTTCAAGAGAACCGTCTACTTAAAATTTTAAAACTTTATCATTTCAGCACACAAACCTTTGCTAGGATGATTTTGAAGCCAATTAGTAAAACAATAACTTGCAGATGAGTTCTACTCAGTCCCATTCAATCCTCATTTTTGCCAAAAGTAGTCTCAGATGTGTACAAACTGATCTGAAATTTAAAAACTTAAACACATACTATTTCTGGAGTGGTCTCCATTCTACATTCCTCTCTTCAACCACACAGTATGTCTATAAGATGAAAATGTATCAACAGCAACAAAACTGAGCTGCTCTGTTGTTATTGTGCAATTGTCTGAGAAAAAATGGACTAAGATAATCAGATGGTCTTATCTGGAGTTTATATTTGCTGAAAGATAGTTGGCATTCTTTTGATAATAAGCTAATAGCCACACTATAGTTCAAATCTCTCTTAATCTTTGCTTTCTTTATGTGTGAAGCTTACAGGATTTTTATAATTTTCTATTTGTCTGGTGTAAAAACCACAAATGTAGATGTTCATATAAGGGAAAATTAGCCTACAAATTTGCTATATCTACTAGTCCTTGAAGGAAAAAGTATCAAATCAATATCAATTTTCATTGTGATCTGCCCATCAGGCAACAGCTGTTTGCAAGGTTAAATATTCGTTGATAAAATCAGTAATTAGCATTTCTAAAAAAAGTCAATGAAATTACTAATTCTTCAAGCCAGATTTACATATTTATTTTAAAAAATCTCTAACAACTTTAATTTCATTATTTCGTTTCTTAGTTCCATTTGTTTCCTTAGTAGCTAAAAAAGATTTGATGTTTTGAATGAAACCTAGACCTTCAAGGTATTCTAGAACACCTTTACTTGATTTGACGGTACACACACACAAAATAATAAAATTTTAAAAAAAGACAGAACACCTTTACTAATCACAGATTCCTTCATTTTCACAGGGACAAAGAAGGTACTGGCAAATTAAAGGGTTTGTTTTGTTTTGTTTTCCTGTGTTTTGTTTTATTCCTTTGATGTTTATAACCAGAGATCTTTACAAAGATAACTTGATATTAAGAATGAAATAAAAAAGACTGAAAAATAAAGTTTTATAATCTATAAATACTTTGGGTTAATAAACAGGTCGTGGTACTGTCTCATGAAATCTAGTCAAAACAGTAACAACTTCCGTTTTCTGGCCCCTCTACAAAACCCCAAGTAAGATGTAGAAGCAACAACAACAAAGTGAAGATTTCTGCTCGTGATGAAGCCCATGACACAGGCAGGACAGAGGCAGAAAGACACAGGGATTATTGGAAAGATGTTCAACAGTCATCAGGTATCAGAGATAGACAACTCAAAACCCTATAAAAAAACTCATGTCACTCCTATTAGGGCAACCAAAAATTTGAGGATTGGTTGTTTGTTTGGGGATGGTGAGGTGTTTTGGTTTTTGTCCTTATTTTTCTTCCCTCCAAAAAATTTTAAAAACCAAAAACCAATGAACATTTTAAAACATTCTGCTGAATAATGTCAATAACAGATAAAAAAAATTATGATCTCTAGGACAGGAAGTGTATAGAGACTAGGGCTGACAGAGCAGGGGGAAAGAGGAATCATTGTTGAAAGATTTACTTAGTTTTTTCGTGATAGAGAATCTGGCAATGAATACTGACGGCAGTATCATAATAGGATAGGCTCCGTCTCACATACTTTGGGCAGGTGAGCAGGAGAGACCAATCCTTGGAGGAGGACATCATGTTTGAGAGGGTGGAGGGACAGTGTAGGATAAGATGGATTGACTCAGTGACTAGAGAGATGGGATTAGGTCTGTCAGAGAAAATGAGATTGGCTCAGGATAGGGCAGGTTTCAGAGTTAATGTCCATAGGGTCGCTATAAGCCTCAGGAGACTAGATGGCACATAACAACAACAACAGTAGTACTGACTTATAGACATGAAAACTGTTGAACTGACCAATCCTATGTTAAATATATTTTTAGAACAATGATTTTTTTTTTTTTCAAAAGCCAATGAAAACAAACTAGGCCATACAGGATGAAACTTTGTCATTTATAAACCCAAATTATTTGTTTCCTAATCCTAAGTGAGCAATTATTTTGTTAAAACGAACCAAAAGATGCAATTAACTTTTGTCCACTTAGCATTTACTCACTTCTTAGTTCTATGGAGGTAAGCATATATGAAGTATATTGGTGTAGTAGAAGGTTCATTCTTTCTACTTGGCCTTTTCTTTATCACTCTTTCACAGAGTGAGTTAAAGTTTCCATAGCAATCATAGGTGTCCAGCATAATTCTCAGATGTGAACTCACTGACTCGATGAGGGATAGGTAAACTCACCCAAGCTGCAGCTGGTGACAAATAACTGATGCATCTGAATCATCCCAGTGGCTGCCACAAACTGTTCCCCAAGCACCATTCGCAAACACTTCCACTGTGCCTTCAAACTCATTTTTGCCACCACGAAGTCGTACTGACCCTAAAGTGAAAAAGAATCCCAAATCCCTTAATATCAAATAATCCATTGAATATATTAATAGAGCTCATTTTCAGTGAACATTATTTTTACATGTTAACAGGGTAACGAGGTCCAATCAGAATATTTCAGTCTGTTTGTTCACAGCACATGCTTCATTCTTTAATTTTTTTCCAAGTTTTTTGGGAATTAACATCCCAAAATCATTGTGGATTATAAAAGTTGAAGTAATTTAAAAAAATCCTATAAACAAAAACTTCTTGTTGTGGAGTTAAATCCAACTCAAATTGATACTATAAGGCAGAATAGACTTGCACATAGGGTTTTGAATGGGTCCTAGCAGCATAATATTTAATGTGTTGGACAGCTTGAATCTACCAGCTGTTCCAAAGGAACTAGTTAGTCAACTCTCTTAGAGATTTAGAGCCTCAGAAACCAGATGGAAAGTTGTCACAAGTCAACTTAATGTCTGTAGTTTGAGTTTAATCTTTATAGAAACAGACTACTAGATATTTCTACTATGAAGTAACTGGTAGATTTGAGCCACTGATCTTTCTGTTAGCAGCCCAGAGCTCTACCTTTGCACCACCAGTATTTCTCAATGTAACTATGTTTTGAGGTGTGTTTTTTTATCACTCTAGTCCAGTTGAAATTTTAAAATGATGAAAATGAAAGAGTATGAAAAGTATCTAATGTCACACACTAAATATTAGATTATATCACATAGGACTTTTTTATCTTTTATGTATTATGCTACTTTTTCCCATGAGTCAATGGAAGCCTATGTGCAAAAATGCAATACTCTATAAAACAACTTTAGAGTGGTACAACAATCCTTGGAGCATTTCTTACAAACTGTGTGTACAAAAGCGTGGGTTACATTGGCAAATGGCGTGCAAATTCTTTGGACTATTCTGGAAATCCTACATCTGAAAATAAAACTGAAGAAATGTAGAAAGTGTTTGATGGCAAAATTCACAGCTACCTGTCTTTGAATTTTAAAAAAATAAATCTATGTTCTGAATAGGTCCTTGAAGTTCTCTATTATTAATGAATCATAACTGTGACTAGATGATGTGCAGTTTTATTAAGCTGTGTTTTGCAGGCATGATCTATGTGCAACCCTTATGGTTAGGATTCTCCTAACATGTTATAGTCATTGGATAGTAAAATTTATTTTTTTATTTTAAGAATAAATTTGTTCTGTAGATTCATTCAATAAACCTTAAATTAAAGCCTGCGAAAAAACAACAACGACAATTTTAACTTACTGTATCACAGCTTCCTTCTATTTGGTTTGCTCATCCGCCAGTGAAGAGTAAAGGGCATTTCCCTTTTTAACCTCAAACAGCAGTCAAGAAAATTGCAAGGATTATGCTCATAATTTCACAAAAAGCTAAGATTATCATTTTGTAAACACTGCTAAGGTTAGTCTTATGAAAACTGTTACTAGGTAAAATGGTTTAGTGCATGTAAAAGTATCAAGGACCATGTGGGGATGGCCTTATCTTACCTTTACCAACTCCACAAAGGAAAACTGTTCCTATCAACAGCATCAACAACATAAAATCAATCCCCATGAGCTAAGACATGTTCCCCATGTTTTCACATTGCTTTGACTTATCTCAGCACCAGTCTTACTGCTTTACAGGGACCAACTGCAAAAATCCACTGCAATAGTCATAGAACACACAGAACTATATGAGACAAGTCAAAAGGTTTTAAACAGGTTAGAAACAAAATATAATCAGTCAGGACATCTGCACACATATCCTCCCAGGCCCTCAGCCTTGAGCATTGCAGCTTTATGCCAGTGCTACAAAGCTCTTCGTCCTGTTCTTCTCTACTCCTCAATCCTTGAAGGAACGTGACCAAAAGTTTTGGTTTCCTCGGGGCAGAGTGGTGGGGGATGTAGCTGTCCCAAGGTCAGCTCCATCTCATGTCACCCATGACTGCCCTTGCTTTAAGTCTAGCTGGCACAAGAATCTCTGGCCCTAAGGGTACACACTGTGTAACTGCTTCTACTTTGCTGGTAGTGAGATTCTCAAATTCTGCTGCTGGATCTGCTCAAATTAATGGTGAGACTAGCCAATCCCCTTGTGGATAGGTTAACACACATGCTGATCATAATTTCCATCCATCCACATGACAAAGTCAGTCAATGGCTAGGGAAGTCATTTTGAACAACAAACCCTTGACACCACAGTATAGCTAAATGTCCCTTGAAATTTCCTCCCCCTAACCATGGCCCTGTCACTGAGTTGCCTGTTAACATTTAACTACCATTTAAGACCCCTTTTCTTCCCCTAGTCTTTAAAATGTCATTGAGTCCACTAAAATTCATGGCAACCTTATGAACAACAATGAACATACATTCTTCAGAAAAGCCAAAATTTAAATTCAAAGTCCTACAGGAAAGATAACATTCTATAAGTCTTATCTCTAAAGCTTAGATTGAAGTCCTACATTCTTCTTCTGTTAGGGACGAGTTTGATATGCAGAACAGTATCTGAGGAATATTAACTAGGACACTTAAGCAGAGATAAAAAACTTAAAAATTCCACAAAATTCTGCTAAAAGTCACCTATAATAGTATTTTTATTACAGAAAGAAATTAATTCCTTTAAAATGTCCAGAGCAAGAAGCTTCACTGCAATCCCAGAGGAACATGGTTCAAACCCACCAGATGTTCTGCAGGAGAAGGAGGGACAATCTCTTCCAGTACCAGTCAGATCCGATTTGACGGTACATGCATGCACGCGCGTGCGCGCGCGCGCGCACACACACACACACACACACACACACACACACACACTTAAAAAAATATGTCCAGAGCAGTTTGCATATTTCAGTTAGAACTTCGCAAAAATGTTTTCACTACTCATTGCCATCTAGTCAGAAGTGACTAATAAAAACTCCTCCATTGCATTTCCAAGTTGTTTCTCAAGCTGAAAGAACTGAAAAGGAAATTCAAGCCTCAAGCTGAAACACTAAGAGATGCTATGGGCAAACTCTTGAATGATCCAATTAGTATCAAAATAGGATGGAGAGAATTCACAGAATCATTATACTAAAAAGAATTTGTTGACATATGAACAACAGGCTACAGTAATGAAGGATGAAGTTAAGGCAGAACTGAAGGCACTGGCAAAAGATAAGGCCCAGAAGGACAGAATACCAGTTGACATGTTTCGACTGATGATGTCAGTTTGAAGACTACAGTACATCTGGTTCGGGCCACTGTCTTTCAATCACCTGCTATGCATCAGACAGCCAGACAATAAGTAAAGATTACAGACAAAGACTTGATGTCTGAGTTGTGGTGCTGGAGGGGTGTAATGAATACCCATGGACTGCCAAAACAATGAGCAAATACATCTTGGAGAAAATGCAGCGGGGGTGTTCCCTGGAGGCAAAGATGACAAAGCTGCATCTCTCTTATTTTAGACACACAGCTGGGTGAAGCTATTCCTTGGAAAGAGTCCTCATGCTTGGAAAGATGAAGGGTCAGTGAAGGAGAGGAAGATCCCTAATGCGACAGTTTGACAAAGTGACTTCAGCAATGGGCTCTAGTGTGTCAGAGATGATAAGAATGGCAGAGGACAGGGCACAGTTCAGGTCTGTTGTCCACAGTGTCACTATTAGTCATACTGGACTCAATAGTATTTAACAGCAGCAAATCACACAGGGAGAGATTGTTCAATTTTATCCCTCAAGGCTGCTGTGAGTTACCCATGCAACTCTCTATAGACTGTGTCACAAAAATCTATTCATTTGATTCACACTGGCCTAGTCATCCACCATAATTATTTTCCATGACACTAGTGTTTAAAAAATTTTATCATTTAAGGAAAATCAGGCCTATTTCTTCTATAAACACAAATTCTAAATACAAACAAAAGGCAAAATAAATGGGGATAGTTGTACTGCCAACTCCTGATTACCCAGTAGAGGAACATCAGGATATTCAATGGTTCACACATTTGATTGTAGTTATTAGTTACCATCCAGCCAATTCTGAGTCATAGTGGCAGCACCTGATACAAGTTTAACTAATCACAGTGTTTTCAAAGCTATAACCTTTTGGAGGCAGATTACCAGGCCCATCTCTGTTTTCAAAGATCCCCTCAGTTGAGTTTCAGTCACCACTTTTCCCGCCAGTAATTAAGTACATGTAATTGTGCTCATGTGATACCTATACTCAGACCAGGAAGCAGTTCTCAGAACTAACAATGGAAACACTGCACGGTTCCAAATCTGGAATGAAGTAATTCAGGGATGTGTCCTGTCTCCATATCTTTTCAATCTATATGTTGTTGTTGTTGTTATGTGCGGTCGAGTCACTTGCAACTCATAGCAACCCTATGTACAAGAGCCCTAAACCCTGCTCTATCCTGTGCCAATTGCACTGAATCTGACACACCCACACCTATTACCCCAGTCACTGGATCATTCCGCCTCAGAGAGGGTCTTCCCCTCTTGTGCCATCCCTCCACCCCAAGCATGATGTCCCTCTCCAAGGACCTGTCCCTCCTTACAACATGTCCAAAGTACATCAGACGAAGCCCCAGAATTCTTGCCTCCAAGGAGCAGCTTGGTTGAACCCTCTCTAGGGTGAATCTGTTTGTTTTCTTGGCAGTCTACGGTACACTCAGTACTCTTCTCCAGCACCACAGCTCAAAGGCATCAATTCTCCTTCTATCCTCCCTAGTCATTCATTGTTCAACTCTCTGATGCATAACAAGTAATTGCAAAGACCATAGCCTGTATCAGGTGCACCTTAGTCTCCAGAGTGACACCACTGCTCTTCTGTACCCTGGAGAGGTCCCTAACAGCAGACTTTCCCATCACAATACTTTTTTTATTTCCTGGCTACTGGTGCCAAGAGTGTTGACCATGGAGCCAAGCAGACTAAAGCTCTTAAAAATCTCAATCTCTTCACCTTCCATCCTGATGCTGCCAATTGGTCCAGTGGTGAGAATCTTTGTCTTCTTGAAATTGAG